GCACGATCTTACTATCTGTGAAGAACTTCACAGCGTCCACCTCAATGTCAATCTCATCTCTGATCAGCTCATATAGTTCAACAGCCAGCACAGCTGCACAGAGTTCAAGGCGTGGAACAGTGTGGGCAGGTAGAGGGGCCAATTTTGACTTCCCCAAGACAAATCCAACATGGTATTGTCCCTCTGTGTCAGCAGCTCTTAAGTAGGCCACAGCTCCTATTGCTACTGTAGAAGCATCTGAAAAGATGCACAGCTCTTTTCTCTGTGTTGAAGAAAGCGAGACTGGAATGTAGCACCTTTGTATTTGCAGATCTTCAAGAGCCTTTAAAGATCCTTTCCATAGGTTCCACTCTGCTTCCTTTTCTGGGAGCAGAGGAGCATCCCACTCACTTTGTTCAGATGACAGTTCTCGGACTAGTGCTTTCCCTTGCATTGTTATGGGAGCTACGAAGCCCAAGGGGTCGTACGAACTGTTGACAGTCGACAAAACACCTCTTCGTGTGAATGGCTTCTCTTCACTGGACACCAGGTAGGTAAAACTGTCTGTTCCTAAATTCCAGGAGAGCCCCAGGCTCCTCTGAAGAGGGAGAGGATCCACTCCAAGGTCCAGATCCTTGAGATCCTTAGCACGGTCCTCTGCTGGGAAGGCTTCCATTACCTGGTTGCTGTTTGATGCCACTTTGTGTAGTCGTAGGTTGGATTCTGCTAACATCTTTCTGGTTCGTGTGAGGAGATCTACTGCCTCTTCAGGTGTGGCGACTGATGTGAGACCATCATCAACATAAAACTGTCTCTCAACAAACTGTCTTGCATCAAAACCATGTTCTTGTTCACCTTGTTTAGCTGCTTGTCTCATGCAGTAGATAGCTACAGCAGGCGAAGGGCTGTTTCCAAATACATGGACCTTCATCCGGTACTCGACCACGTTCTTGTTAATGTCATTGTCCTCGTACCAGAGGTACCGGAGATAATCTCTGTGATCTTCTCGTACGACAAAGCAATAAAACATTTGCTGAACATCTGCTGTAAGGGCTACAGGTTCTTTCCGGAATCTCAACAGAACTCCTAACAGAGTATTGTTCAAGTCTGGTCCGCTCAGGAGCACATTATTGAGGGATGTTCCATCACATTCAGCGCTTGAGTCGAACACAACCCGTATCTGGTCTGGCTTTTTTGGGTGGTACACGCCAAATGTTGGCAGGTACCAGTGTTCTTTACCTTTATCTAAAGGTGGAGCTAGCTCAGCTTGGTCTTCATCCAGCATCTTCTGCATGAACTTGATGTAGTGATCTTTCATTTCTGGCTTCTTCTCCAGAGTTCTCCGTAGTGAATAGAGCCGTTTCAGTGCTTGCTCCCTGTTGCTCGGAAGGCGTCGTCTTGGAGAGCGGAAGGGTAACGGTGCCACCCAACTGTTTTCTGTATTTTGACAGACTTCTGCATCCATGATGGCCAGGAAAGCTTTATCATCTATGGATAACGCTGGTTTATCATCATCCTTGGACTTGTTAAACACCGTATGTCCGAGGTTGTCTGCACTCACGTTGAGTCTTATGTTCTCCTCACATGCAGATAAGGTTT